CTCCACACCTGATATGTGAAGCCATCTGGGGACCCTTAAGTCACCTGACACCTGAACTGACAGCAGCGAGTGGGCTGGGCTGTGACGTGAAGGGGGAGGAGGAATTGGGTTGGCGTTGGACACAGCTTTAAAGACCCCATGAGTTAGTGGGCAGTATAGGGAGGTGCAGGGCAATGCACAGCAGGGAGGCTGTGATGGGCAGTTGTTTGCAGCCGCTCAGCCCTACAACCCCCACAGCCCATGCAACCCCTTCTCGATCATTTTTGCCTAAACACTACTTATCCGTTTGCAAGATGTACTGAGTATAAAGGTCTCAAAAAAAGACTCTAATTCCCGCATTTCTTGATTTTCATCTCTGCTTGGTACACCACTGCTGAGCAAACACAGGCCAGATAGGCAGGCTGTCAATGATGCCCGGACAGATAGGATTCTCAGTGCTATCAACAGCTGTTCTGTGTGGCTGCACAAGATTGCCAGGCAGGTATGTCTCACCAGCAGCCGCTTCTCATCTGGGCACCGTGGCAGGAGGCATTCATTCCCGTACAAAGGGGAGAGAATGGTAATAAAATTCGGAAAGTTAGAATTCTTATTGCTTAACTGTTATAAAACTTGCTGATTACTGTTTATTGCTTGCTGTTATACAAGTTGTTGATTATTGCTCATTACTTATTGTTACCATGTAAATGCTGTTTTGGAGGAAGTTTCTAAATTATGGAAGTTATGCTTACTTAATATATCAATTGTGTTTAATTCTGTAAATAAAGCTTTGTATGTGCTTGGCTCTGTGTTCCATGTGTGTATGGGGCAAGGGGAGGGATTTGCATATGCTTGATAGGAACACCTTGCTTTCAGTGCCGGTGATTAGCAGGTACTCAAGCCAGGCTGCCTGTCTGTTTGCTGCACTGCCGAATCAACAGCAGTTGACTGAGGAACCTGTAAAACTGGAAAACCTAGTAAATCCCCATCTCACCCTGCCTGTCCTGGTAGCTCACCAGTGAGGGGCACTGTTGAGGCTTGGGGGGGGGGCTGTGGGTAGGAGTGGCAGAGAGATGCCCCACCCCCCAGCAGGTTCCCAGCACCTGGCCCTACCCAACACCCATAGGATACCTGGGACTGTGTGTGGCCCCCATTTGTTTTGAACAGCAAATGAAACCACTCCCAGGCATTCATGTTAGCTGGCCAAACAGTTATTAATTTTTTGCATGACCCAGGCTAGAGGCATTGTGACCAGACAACTGCAATTTGCTTTTTAATGGGAAGTGAAACTGCTCTGGGCACCTATGAAAGGTGGCCAGTGGTTTTTATTTCTTCTAAGCAGAGGTGGATTATGGGCCAACAGTGCACCTGGCAATCAAGGCCTCTTTGGGGAGCCAGGGGCAACGTGGCCCAAACATGAATCCTGGCCATGGTTGTGCTGGGTGGCTGGGGTCTCCATGCAGGAGGTAGCTGCTTCCTGGGGCTGTCTGCTGCGTGCAGTCCTGGGAAGCTATAATTTGCTTTTTAGTGGGAAATGAAACTGCTTCCTGGCACCTAAGGAAGGTGCCCAAGCAGTTTTTTATTCCTTGTATTAAGCAGGGGTGGATTATGGGCCGACAGGGCCACTGGCAACCAGAGTTCCTAGGAAGCCAGAGGCAGCATGGGCCAGGTGGTCACTCTGGCTTGGGCCATGCTGGGGGGCCAGAGGTGTCCATGCAGGAGGTGGCTGCTTCCTGGGGCTGTCTGCTGCCTGCTGTCCTGGGAGTGGGTGCCTGCAATTTGCTTTCTGGCAGGAAATACATCTGTTCCCAGGCATTTAAGGCACCTATATGCTTTTTTATTCCTTGCAGTAAGCAGGGGCATATTATGGGTCAACGGGGCACCAGTGCCGCTAAGAAAGTATGGGGCAGTCCCATCCCACTTTGCTGGTGCTGGCAGACAGACCAGCAGAGGGGCGTGCAGGAAGCCAGGGGTCCCCTCCACCCAAACTCCATCTTGCCATATTCTGAGTTACTGAGGTACTCCCTTTCTGGGGAAACACCCCTGACCCTTAGTCCATGGGTGGACCAGTCCTCTCTCATTACTGCAATGTGTCTGAAGCAAGCCAAGTTATGTTTAGCTAGGTTAAATCACCCATCCCCCAAAACCAGGTATGTACAACCCTTCCCATTACAGCAGGCAGACATGGATGAAAAATTAATTTTTATTAGACCAAAGCAGTTAATTTATTGACAATAATCTAAGCAGACCTAAAATAATGTGGGAACCCCAGAGACGACTGTAGGGGTGCAGGACCCGGGGCAAATCAGCCTGTGGAAGGCCCCTTTAACACTGTGAGGGGCAGGGCCACAGCCACTCTGCCTAGCTCCCACCTGGCTCTGTGGGGCCACCCAAAGCATGGGGTCTGGACCGGTCACCCTGATTCACCCCCTCCCCCCCCCAGTGCCAAGGATGGACCTGGGGATGCCCACTCCTAACGAAAGAGCAGCATTACCAACTAAGAATCCTTTACCTGCCATATGCTCTTCTTTCCCAGCCATGCACTCTCTGCTAAAGCCTAGTGATGCTCTCCTTCACCCTGCCAGATTTGGGGCACCCCTTGCTTGCAGACAATGCTGTGTCCCTGAGGGTCACCTCCCAGATAGAGGCAAGCTTACTGGATTTTGCATGATTGGTTCCAGGGGAAGCCACTTATGATTTGGGGCTGCGGTCATGTGCCTAAGGATATCCTCTCTAAACACTGACTCTGAGCGGCGGCTCTCCTTGAGATAGCATGGCATTTTGTGCTGTCTATGATATGTGCTGGACATGCTTTTCCATCCCTCTCTAGCCTCTCTAAATGTCTCCCAGATTTCATCCCACCACTCATCCATGGTGTTCCCTCATGATTCTGCAGCTGCCACCAAAGCCTCCATCATGCTTTCCCTGGAGCATTGCTGCCTGCGGCGGAATTCATGCATTTGCTCAGCTCCAGTGTGAGCTGGTGTTTATACTTTGGACGCACATCCCCAGCTTCCACTGTGTGTGGTAGCTGGTAACAGGAATGGGAAAACAAAGTATTTATGGTCAAAGATCTGGACCCCACTACCTAAATGAAATAATGGTTAACCCCCACCTAAGCAACTTTCAGAAAACCCACAGCATGTCCACCCCACTGGAAGTGAAACATTGCATGCCTACTCCAGTCCCACAAATCAATATAATCTCCCTTCCCTGACACTTACAAGTCCTAGGTGTGGATCCTCTGGTGGCTCTGGCACCAACATAATCTTTGTGTCTCTGGAACTTCTCCCATGTCACATGAGTCTGGTGGGGAGGAGGGGACATGATAGTATCACTGTTGTATCTGATGCATCCTCCCCCTCCTCTGTGTTATGTGGCCAAATTATCGGCAAGAGTGGTTCCATGGTCAAGATAACTGCTTCTTGGCCGTCCCTATCCACCAGCTCCTGTGAGCAGTCATCCAACTCCTCCAACATGTTTCCTGTAGGAGTGGCAGGACAGTATGTGGACTCTTGGTTAGGTGTGCCCTCCTGAACCCCCATTGTCCCAAACAAATGAGAGAAGCCTCATCTCCATCCTTGGCGAGAATGATGGACAGCTAATCATAGAATGGGGCAATTGTGCATGCTGACCCAGAACAAGAGTTCTTGTCCTTGGTTCAATGGAAGGCACATTTCAGGGCCCTGATCTTGCTGCAGCACTGTGTCCAATCTGAGTTGTGCCCCTACACCTTAATTTCCTTGGCAATGGCCGCATTATTTTATTTATTTTCCAGGTTCTCCAGAACATTCTCTTCTGAGCAAATATTGATCAAATCTTTAAGTTCTTCTTGGGTCCAGTTGGGGCCATGGTTTATAGATGTATCTGGCTCCTACTCCATACCCACAAGACTTGACTTGTTCTTTGGTGTTGCCATCGAGTATTTTATTGTGACCAAAATGAGTCACCATAGGGCTTGCTATGCTGTCACCAGAGTCATTAGATGCTTTCTGGCAAAGGCTGAGAGCAGATATATCGTCATGCTTTTCTGAAATTCCATATATGCATACTTATGAAGATACTGGCAGTCAGGGGCTCATGTGTTCTTTCCTAGCGAAACACCAGTGACATCCATAGCTTGCCCCAAATTGTTCCCCATTGTCCAGAAGGATAGATCATAATGGCTGTCTTCCAATCACACCCAAAAGTCTCTGGCTGGTGGCTCTCTCTTTATGAACACACACCCTCCCCCACAATGTCCACCTATCAATTACTCAACTGTTCTGGGGATCTATTTGGTCTTAAGGGGGGAAAAATCGGGGTTTGTCCATTCACTGTTCTGCTCAGTGCCCCCCTTTTTTACCACTAAGTGCTTGATGGATTTCAGGGTGTATTGACAAGAACCCTAAAACCCCAAGTTTTGGAAGGAGGGCCAGTTAGAGGAACCTGGTATGTTTAAAAATTGAAATGGAGCAGGGCTGTTAATACTGCCCTATTCCAAAACTGGATGTAGAGCAATTTCAGACCATTATGGATGTGAGATTACTTGATGGTTCTGGTGCCTTGATGCCTGGCATAGCTGCTGGTGCGCTAATGGGAGTTGTTCAAAAATAACGTTGGCACCACACACCCACATTTCTTCCCTTGCTTATTTTGTGGTGGGGTAAATTGATGGGGTGATACTTCTTGGTGGGGACTATTCCTTGGTCCAGTAAATGGCATTATCTACTCCCCCAGGCATATGATGGTTTTCTAGGGTCATCCTCAAGCTCTTAGAGAATAGGTGGGACATACTTTGCTCTCTCCACCCCCACCTGCAGACCAAACGCTTTGCTGAGCTCACGCTTAGCCCACGGCCTCAAGAACTGTGTCTGAATTGAAGTGTAAATAGCATAGCTGTTATAATGTTAACAGATTCTATTCAACAGCCCTAGCTATTCAACCAACCCTGCTCCCACCCCACCCACCCCAGTGCACCTTTGTGATGCTGTGAGCTAAACAACCATCCTGTTGTGTCCTGCAAAACAACATGGCTTTAATGAACCCTGATGGGCTGAGTGAGGAGAACCAAATGCTGTTGGATGTCCTGGAGATGTCTGACCATAGAATGGAGGCACTTGATAATGCAGAGATGCTGCTACTGTCTGCAAGGAAGGGTTTGATGAACCTTCTACGAAGTTGCGAAGACACACCAGAATCTAATTATCCCTGACTATACCAGGAAATATACTGTGTAGGTGGAGTGGGAGAACTGAGAGGCAGTCACAGCAACAATCAAAGGGTCTGGGTCCACATGAGCAGCTCTGATGAGTGGCAGTGAATTGTACTGTTGACTTGGGATGATCAACAGTGGCTGGAGACATTCTGTATGATCAGGGGGACATTTCGTCACATAGTCTTGATGCTGGTGCCAAAAATTGTGCAGCAGGATACTGTTATGTGTCATCCCATTGCACCAGACAAGAGGGTGGGCATGACCATCGTGAAACTGGCTACCCCCACCAACCTCCGCTACATTGGGAATCAGTTTGGTGTGGGTTCCTGCATGAGGTATGCCAGCTGCTGCATGATGTCATGGTGAACAACTTCATTTGCCTCCATAACCCCATGGAAGTTGTTAAAGCTTTCAAGGCCATGGAGTCTGCTAACTGTGTGGATGCATTGGACAGCACACACATTTCAGTGTTATCCCCCTCACAGATGAGTCACTCATTCACAAACAGGAAGGGATTTGCCTTGGTGATCCTCCAAGCCATAGTGGATCACCAGAGACATTTCACCAACATTTATACAGGCTGGGCAGGCAGTGCTCATGATACTTGTGTTTTTAGAAACTTGCTGCTGCTTCATATGATGAAGAAAAGACAATATGTGCCTGGAGTCCCCAGTACAATGATCTGGGGTGTTTCTATTACAGCTTCCTGCAGTTACTTGCACTCTGAACAGCCGACACTGGGGTTGTGTCAGGGCATGGGAGGAGATGCTGCCTGAGGGGGAAAGGAGAATGACATTTAGGGGTATGTGAAGTAGGCCCTATTTGATTTGGATTTGGATTTGGCCTGAATCAGGGACAGTGATTTTATTTGTTGATTTGGATCACTGTCCCTGATTCGATTGGGCTGAATCTGAATCTGAAGATTCGATGCTGATTCAGACATAGACAGAGCTTTCCAAGTTTTTTTCTATATACCTCGAGGTATCAGTGCGGCTTGTGAATGCTGCAATGCTGGACCATTTCCAGAGGAGTGTGTGCGTGTGTGGGGGGCCTCCACATACTTGATAACAAACTCAGAAGTGGACCAAAAGTACTTCCAGTCCACTTCCAGGTCTGCCAGAAAGCATACAGGGGGGATCCCCTGTGCCTCCCTGGCTCAGTGATTGGCCACAGGGGGACCCTGGTTCCCCCCCCGACCCAGGAGGTACCAGTCACCAAGCCAGGAGGACACAGGGAGGCCCCCCCCCACATGCTCCCCGGCAGACCTGGAAGTGGACCGGAAGTGCTTCTGGAGTCCCCCGTGCTTCTGTGGGATGCTCCATTCACCCCAGCATTGCAGCACTCATGACCCCTGCTACTATGTAGAAAAAACATTTACAGTTGTCTCTATGTCTAAATCTCTGAATCTTTACAAATCTCTTCAAATTGATTCAGAGGTTTCCAATTTGATTTGGAGAGATTAAGGGGTCCTCTGATTTGATTTGGATTCAGAGGTTCAGGCACCGAATTGGGCTGAATCTCTGCTGAATTGAATCAGAGACCGAAGTTTCACACAGCCCTAATGACATTGTCAGGCTGCCAGACTGCCTGGTGCAGTGCTGGATCCCCAGCCCAGGGCCACAGGCATCGCCTTGCTTCCTCCAAGACCGTGCCAGGGCCTGATTCACTCCACCACCATACTCACAAATTGGTGCCTGACACCCGATCTTGCATCACACCCTGAGCCTCCCTGGACCTAGGGAGTCCTGGGCCCAGGTGGGTGCCATTTGCTGTGAATGGCAAATGAAACTGCCTCCAGGCACCCGTTAGGCAGCCAAGCGGTTATTATTCTTTGCATGAGCCAGGGGTGGATTATGGGTGTACAGGGCACTTGGGAGACAGGGACAGCATGGCCCAAGCTGGAACCCAGGCCAGAACCATACAGGGTGGGCGGGGGGGGAGGGGGGTCTGTGTAGGTGGTGACTGCTTCCTGGGGCTGTCTGTTGCCTTCAGTGCTAGGACCGGGTGGCCACAATTTTACCAGGAAAATGAAACTACCCTCAGGGACCTAAGTGAGCCAGGGGCAGTACAGCCCCGGCAGGTACCCACACAGCATGGCTCTGGCCAGGGTGCCTCCCTGGACTGTACTGCCCCTGGCTAACCTTAGTTAGGTGCCCAGGAGTGGTTTCATTTCCTGGTAAAATACATGTAAATAATTAATGAAATTACTGAAATGACAATCAATTTAATTTGGTAAAATTAATGAAATAACACCAGTTTCAGTTAGGTAGAAATGCCCAGAGATTGTATAGTGCTAAAGTAAAGCCAAAGACAGCCAAAAAGGTCTTTGGGTGACCTGGTCAAAGAAAATTGACCAGCAGCCACAATCCCATAATGCCTAGGCAAAGTGTGGACAGGTGACATGCCCCACCAATCTTGCAACATTTTTGCACCAGACTGAGGGGTTCACATGGGTCATTTTGGGGCCAGGATGGGTTGAGCTGAGATGGCGTCTATCTGACTCTGAAGCCACTATATACATCTTAGGAGCATGCTGGTGATGGACCCCATGGGACACCCCTCATAGTTGAAGGTACCCCCCCATATCAAAATCACACCAGACCCCCTACCAGCAACAGCAGCTGCCAACCGTAAATCTGATGCCACACAGAGTGCTAAGGCACTGCGTGCATTGATTGAAAAAAACTGAAAGTTAGGAAAATAAAACTTTAATTTAAATTTAAATAAATAAAACCAACAAACGGTGAAAGCTGAAACACTGCCCAATACCCACTCCCCTAATCCACAACTGGAAAGCAGTAAATAAAATGAAAAATGTAAAATGCCCTCTTTTAAATCCTCTGCCTCTCAAAACAATGAAGCCCAGCAGTTTAGGGGCAACCCTCTTGCAAAGAACTGAGGCAGCCTTCTTGACAAAGTGACAGACCATCATTCTGTAGGGAAAGAAAGAAGATGTGGGGGTTTGCCCCATACTGCCAAACTCATTTTCCTCGCTTCCCTATATAAAAGATTTTTCCAAGGGAGATTTCCCCAAGATTGCTCTGAAAATACCTATACACTCAGTGTGGCTAAATATCTTTGTGCAGGGGTCTGGTTGGAGGCATTGGCCATTGTCAAGTGAGGCACAGCTGAAGGGCAATTGGGAGAGAGAGATGGCAATTAAGCTGACATGTTCCAATGTATCCTAACCTGTACTTTCATGCTTTCCCCTTGTTACCAGATGCCCAAGCTCCACTCTCCCTGCAATGGAAAACTTACCACCAGCTGCACTTCTGCCTCTGGCTCCTGTTCTAGATGTTGCAGCTGATGGGGCAGGGAAGGGGGCTGGGGAGGGTGTG